TAAGGTTGTGCATGTATAAAGACGGGGGATATAAAAATCTGTTACCTTCCTCTTAATTTTGAAAAAAAAAAAAAGGATAAAAAAATGGGAATAGTATAAACAACTTTTGGGACAACTTTAAGAGGTCCAACATTTGCCTCACAGGGGTGTCAGAAGGAGAAGAGAAAGAGCAAGAAATTAGAAATCTATCTAAAACTCCTCTTTTAATAAAAAGCATTAAAGGAGGATGCCCCGGTCAAAATATAGGTAGAGACTGACACTGGCATGCACCACCGGGAACCCTAGGGCCAGCACACCCAGCAGACAGCTAAAGACCACATCAGAGCATCACCAGCCTGCCCTTGCACAGCTGATCCTCCACAGAGGGCAGAGGCTGGTGGAGGGCAAGTGGTCACAGCCAGTCCTTGCAGCTGACTGGCCTGGGTAAACCCCTCCCTTTGATCGGCCAACAGCCACCAAGAGTCAACTACAAAAGGAGGATGTACTCAGCCCACACAAAGGGCGCACCTCAAGTACCCAGCTTCGCTGGTAGGGGAAGCTGTGCCTACAGGACACTTACGACATTAGGCCACACTACCAAGACACAGAGTCAAAGCAGCTCTACCTAATACATAGAAACAAACACAGGGAGGCTGCCAAAATGAGGAGACAAAGAAACATGGCCCAAATGAAAGAACAGATCAAAACTCCAGAAGAAGAACTAAACGAAAGGGAGATAAGCAGTCTATCAGATGCAGAGTTCCGAACACTGGTCGTAAGGATGCTTAAGGATCTTGGTGAGGACCTCAGTGGCATATAAAAGACCCAGTAAGAAATGAAGGATACGCTAACTGAAATAACAAGTTACAGGGAAACAACAAGAAAATGGATGAAGCTGAGAATCAAATCAATGATTTGGAACATGAGGAAGAGAAAAAGAACCAATCGGAACAACAAGAAGAAAAAAAGGACCCTCAAAATTGAAATACTATAAACCATCTCTGGGACAACTTTAAGAGGTCCAACATTCGCCTCATAGTGATGCCTGAAGGAGAAGAGAAAGATCAAGAAATTGGAGATTTACCTGAAAAAATAGTGAAAGAAAACTTACCTAATTTGGTGCAAGAAATAGACATGCAAGTCCTGAAAGTGCAGAGTCCCATAGAAGATGGATACAAAGAGGTCCATTCCAAGACATATTGTTATTAAAAGGCCAAAGGTTAAAGATAAGATAGACTCTTAAAAGCCAAAGAAGTTACTGGAAGGTTGCCAGATAGGAAGGGGGAGGGGAGAACTAGTGAAGAGGTAAGGGGCTTAAGAAGTATATAAGGGTAGTTACAGAATAGCCACGGGAATGAAAAGTACAGTATAAAAAATAGAGTAGCCAAAGAACTTACAAGCATGACCCATGGACATGAACAATGGTGGGGGATTGCCGAAGGGAGTGGGAGGAGCTGGGTGGAAGTGGGCAAAGGGGAAAAACTCAGGACAATTGTAATAGCATAATCAATAAAATATAATTTTAAGAAGTTTTTAAAAAAGCAAAAAATTTAAAAAAAATTTAGAAAGCTTTAAAAACAAAATGTTAAAAAAAAGGTTAAAAGTGAATGAATAAATAAAGTCCCCTTGCCCTGGCTGAGTAGACCAGTCAGTTAGAACATCATCCCATAGGCCAAATTGTGGGTTTGATCCCAGGTCAGAGCACATACAGGAGGCAACCAATGAATGCATTAATGGGCAGAACAACATATGGATATCTCTGTCTCGCTTTCTCTTTCTCCCTTTTCTCTCTTTCTCTCAAATCAATAAATAAATTTTTTAAACAAATAAATTAAAAAAAATAAAGTACCCTTTATAGCTCTCCCTTCCTGGTCCCATTTTCTCTGCTGTCTCCCCAGAGCTAATGTTATTTTGAATTTAATGACTATTATTACAATGTATATACTTATACTTTTATTACATATTTACATATGCAAAACAATACATAGCATAGTCAATCATGTTCTTAGGCTTTAAATATAGCATCATACTATATGTATCTTTCTGTAACTTGCTTTTTCATGTAATGTTTTTGGAAATCTACTAATTTAAATATCATATAGTAGTCTACTTAATAAATAAACCAGTTTATTCATTTTTCCATTGAAGGGTTGTCTTCACTGTTTCATTATTGTAAACAATAATGTAATACAAATTATTATACATATGTACCAGAATTTCTCTGCGGTAGCGGTGCCAACCTTTTTGGCACCATGGATCGGTTTCATGAAAGACTGGGGTAGAGGTGGGGGGTCAAAAGGAGGTGGAGCCCAGGTGAGCTTTGACTGTGGCCTGGTTCTTAACAGGTCTTGAAATGGTACTGGGTTGGGGATCCTGGCTCTAGGGTATAATCTTATAAGAGAAATAATAAAATAATAAAATATACACATTTCAAAAGTTACAGATCAATTTGATAAAATTAAGTAAAGTGGTTGAACCATTTTATTCTTCTACAATTAGAGTACAAGAGTTTGTGATCTCACCCAATCTCATGATTGAGAATAGTATCTTGTTTAACTGTATTTCCCTAATAACTAGTTCATCCTTTAAAACGAGAATGATCTTTTCACACTTATTCCATGTTTTTCTTTGAATTGAGTATTCATAGTCTTTATCAATTTTTTATTTTGGTTCTAAGATTTGTTTTAATATGTTTTTATTGTATTTTTCCATACCATTTGCCCCCCTTATATGGTCCCCCCAGCAATCACCACACTCTTGTCCAGTCCATGAGTCCTCTTTGCCTTTTTTCCTTGAACCCTCTGCCCCCTCATCCCCCTGCAAAGCTGTCATCCTGCTCTCCATCTATCAGTCTGTCCATATTTTCTGTATTAGCTCAGTTTGTTCATTAGATTCCACATATGAGTGAAATCATAATTGAGTTATTTTTTTTCTTATGGAATTATAAATTTAAATATGTCATAGGTAGCACTTTTCCCTTCAAATTGCATTAATGCTATTTCTTATAATTTTGGAAAAATCTGAAACATATAGAAAATTTGAAAAGCATAGTAAAATAAATTGTTTTCCCTGAATCATTTGTGAATAATTTATTGATATGATGCCTATCACCCTTGAAAGTAATGCTTTAACATGTATTTCTAAAACACAAGAACAAAGAACATTTACTACATAATATCAATACCAGGAACAAATCAACAAATTAACATTAATACTGTCAATGTGACATTTTTTCCTTTATTTTTCTTTTGAGATTTTATTTTTAGAGAGAGGGAGAGGGAGGGAATAGAGAGGGAGAGAAACATTGATGTGTGAGAGATAAATAGATTGGTTGCCTCTTACAAAACCCCACCTAGGGACCTGGCCCACAACCCAGGCATGTGCCCTGACTGGGACTCAAACCAGCGACCTTTCGATTCACAGGCTGGCACTCAATCCACTGAGCCACTCCAGACAGGGCAACCAATGTGCCATTTTAAAAAATATAAGTAACAGTGACTATCCTTTTAAAAAATGATAAAGAATCAATGCTTAAGGTTTCTACATTAAATCACAGTATGCACTCCTTAACAGACGATAAAAAGGGTTTAAAACTCTTTTCCTTATATCCAAAGGGTATACATTAGGATCAACAACATGTGAATAATTGCTTTCATTTTTTCCCCTATTTTTCATAACCCAAGAGGGGCAAGATTAAACTGCGTCTAAGAATTTTAAACATTAGGTCAACCTTTCTGAGAATAATTGCTAGGGAAAACTGAGAGTGAAATCCCCTTTGGCCAATTTCTGTTCAAAGCTCTCCTGATATAATCTTAAAACAGACCTATTCAAAGGCTAATCCTAACCTTTAAGAATCTGTTCAAGATATAAGGCTCTTTCATGTCTTTGTATCTAGTGTAACTTATTTATGAGTGACATATATTCTGTTATAAGGCTACGTTTATATAGCAAATATAAAAATAATAATGGCTGCCAATAAGAAGTTTTTAGTATTAACCATGTATCAAGAATTCTGTTACCAATTTTACATGTGTTATTTCATTTATCCTTTAGGAAAACTCTATGATGATTAGAGTACCTTCTTCATAAGAAGAATGGAAAGAGAAAAAATACAACAATTTAGGACATTTTTCTGTAGTCCCAGGAAATAAAATGCGGTAGTAAAGCTAAAGAAAGTAACAGAGTCAAAATGCATTTGTTTGATTGTCTTTAAGCAGAAGATTCACTAGCATGATTATATGTGATGAAAAAGACTAGTGAAACATGAAAAACTGATGAACTGGCAGAGAGAGGGGATCTATTAAAACAATGTCTTTGAGTAACGGGATCTAAGGCCAAAGTGTAGCAAGCACAGTTCATCCACTGTAATAGGAGAGAAGAATATAAGGTGAGAAATGCAGAGTTGGGCAGCCTAGATAAGAGAGAGGTGCACACAACGCGTAGGTTTTCCTATGTATGAAGTATGTCACATATGTGAATATTTTCATCAAGTGCAATGTAGGGCTACTCCTCTCCAACTTGCCTCTACCTATCTTTAGTAGTTTTCTTTAGATTTTGCAATAGTTGTAATGCTTCCAAAGGTTTTGTTTGTTTCATTTTCTATCTTTGCACTTAGCCATTATTGTTCCACAATACCAAAATTATAAGGAAAAGCCCAAAAAGCTAAGATAGAGATGGCATTTCCTTAAAAATATTTTCTGCCTCAGTAAGAAGTACTTGTGAGGATAAGAACTTTAAAGAAAAGAAGTTTGTTTTTTTTTTCCTTGCATCTGTTTCCTCTGAGCTAAATGAAGTCACAGTTTATAGATTTTTAACCACAAGTTCTAAATATTCCAATTGGCCAGTTCAGCTCACTGATTAGACAAAATGTTATAAATTCTGAAACATAATTTCTTCTCAAATTTTCTGTCTATTAAAAACGAGTCATTAAGTTGCTTTGAAACTTGAGTGTTTTATATACTATTCAAAGGGCTTCTTGGTTATAAATAAAGAAAGAAACTAAATATAAACCATATCCTTACCTCTCACAGCTGACTGAGAAGGCTGAGTCAAAACTCTGACATCTAATGCACTGTTGATACTTTCTTCCAAAGCAGCACAATATCCTTCCACGACACTGGTTACCGTATTCTTTAAAGTTCCAAGATTATGGAAAACCTGAAGAGCTGTTCCAACTTGGGTTGGATTCTTTTAAAAGGTGGGGTGGGTAGGGTGGAAATAGATATAAATAGAAAAACAAAAAAATATATAAATCTACAATTTTTACTCGTACTTGAGCAGTTACTACAATTTTTTAAAATTATCAGAAGAGCTAAGACAATACATTTGGAACAAATATTATTTTTAGTCATTATTTATTTCATAACAGACAAAGTTAAAAATTCTCTATATAGTTTCACCTATCTGCTTTCCTCCTCCTTTAAAGGGTAAGACCAGAAGTTTGTTATACTTGAGAGTGTTTTTAAAATTTACCACCAGTCCCTATGGAGCAAGCCATGCCGGGACTAACAATAATCCTACATTTGTTTAGAGAATAAGTAAATGAATTCTGCATAATTAACTGAGGGCTGAGACATGCAGCCTGATACTTACTTTTCGCTATATTTTATTCATTCACTCTAACTACGAATATTTATACAGGGGTTACTATGTGTACATCTTGATTTTAGGCACTGGAAATATAGCAGTAAACAAAACCAATTAAATCCCAGCTTTCATGGAGCTTATAATTACTGAGAAATGTATAAAAATAAATGTAACAGAACATCAGATTGTGATAAATGTGAAAATAATGAAGCAGTGAATAAGAAAAAAGAAGGATGGGAATTATTATAGAGAAGAGTTAGAGGATGTATCTCTGAGGTGATATAAAGAGAGACCTGCATATAATGGAAGGGGTCAAAGGAGGATCTGGGAACTACAGATCTGAGCAGAGGCACTGACAAATACATAATACAGAGGCACTGTGCAGAGGCGGAAATGTGCTTAGTAGCCAGTGAGAATGCAAAAAGGCCTCAACGGTGACTGATGCAGAGGAAGGTAGGGGACAAAATAGGCAGTAGAAACACTAAGAGAAGATTAGTCTGTAGTATTGATAATATAAATAGATTGTTGGATTTGTTATCAAGTAAATGACTGAATTATCAAGCCAGGATCTAGTTAGTACACCAACATATATTTCCAGGCCCAAAGAGCTGAAAATCCTCTTTCATTTATGATTCAGTGTCTGTTATTAGAAGACCATAGTTAAAAAGTTAAATTATTTCTTTAACTTATATTCATGACTTTTAAGTTTGGAAATAAGACAAAAGGTTGTTTCTGAAATCTACTGGTGTTAGTAAATATACACACTGTAGATACATATACACACAGAAGCAAAGTAGAAAATATGATAAAACATGGTTGATAAATAACAATGTCCATTTTGGATTTTTTTTAATTAAACAAGGAAAAGAAACAAATGAACAGTGTTTCAAATTAAAATGTTTTAATTTAAAATGCTGAACTTAATACAGTTATAATAGAATTTAATTCTAGTATATGCTATCAACTCAGTACTAACAAATGTAATGGGAGAAAATGACATATTTCATGTAAAATTATTAACTGAAAATATGAGGTGTAGTGCTTTGCCTGGGTTGTTGTTAGTTTCATCCAGTAATGATATTTTTTAAATTTTTAGTAGATTTTAAGAATTAGGATCTATAAAGCAATTTTCCCTTATCATTATTTAAGTGTCTACATAATCGAAGAAAGCATTACCTGAGCAACTTCAAAGAATATTCTCAATCTCATAAAACTATAATACTCATATATACTGAAAAATTATACTTATTACCTTAACTATCTTTGAAGGATTTGAAAAGCAAAACTTCTCAGTCTAGAGTAAGGTTTCAGGTTTATCAGTTGAATGTACACTGTAAGTTATATATGTACATTAACTGAAAAACATTTAAAGTCATATTTCACTTAAAAGATTTGGCTAAAGCTCACTCTCTTCCTCTCTCTCTCTAAAAAAAATACCAATAAAAAAATACAACAACAAAAAAAATTGGCTAAAATAGACCAGTCTTCAATTTTCCCACTCCATAAAGATTAACTTCCAAAAACTTCTAAAAAGAGAAACATACGTAGCTCATTTTTAAAAGGCATCTAATATAGTAATATATGTAATAATTATAATTAAGAATTACGAATACTTATAATTCTCAATGTAATTTTAAGCTTGCCACTTAACATGATGACTTTTTCAATTAATGCCAGTTATTCACATTCATTGCTTAATATAAATATGTCATTTGTTGGCAAACTATAAAATAATGAGTATGCAAATTATAAAAGCACAGCTTTATGTATTATCAAAAAGTAAACACACCTATATAACTATGACCCAAACAATGAAACCAAGTATTATCAGCACCTATGAATCTTGAGTGGCTTTCCCAAGTGCAACTCTCCACATATTATCACTATCCTAACTTCTACCACCATTGATTAGTTGTATCTGTTTTTGAAATTTTACATAAATGGAATCATAAATTAAGTGCCATTTTATCTGGCTCTTTTAGTCAATATTCTATTTGTAAAATTCACCCAGATTGTTGTACATAGCAGTAGCTGATTCATTTTCAGCATTACAACTATTCCAGTGTACCTTTACCTTGGTTTATCTATCCTTCCCATTGATGATGCATGCTAGAGTTATTTCAATTTTTTTAGGTATTTCAAATAATGCTTCCATGAACACTCTAGTGAACATACGCATTTCTGCTGGGTAAGAGCAGAGCTGCTCAGCCATAAGCTATTTGTATACTTAGTGTTTGTAGATACTGCAAATTTCCCAAAGTCATCACACCAATTTACAGCCACATCAGTAACTTGAGAATGTGGGTGCTCCACAACTTGGCTAAAACTTAGAATTATCAGTCCCTTCAATTTTTGCTGTTCTTTTGAGAGAGGAGTGTGGTTTTAATTTGCTTGTTTGTGATGACTAAGAAGCTATCCTTTTTTTTTGCATGTTAAGTATCCATTTGCCTGTTTTTCCCATTGGTTGTTTCTTTTATGTATTTATAGAAGTTGCTTATAGATTTTATGTAATCCCTTTGACAATTATATGTATTATAAATACAACGTCCCACTCTCAAAAAGTCTTTAAGTTCCTAATTTGAATGAAGTCCATTTTGTTAACCTTATTCTCTACGGTAAGCATAGCCTGTTTAAAATGTTTCCTACATTACATTCATGGGAATGTCTTTCATTCATGAAGTTACACTCCAGAAACTCTATTTGTTTACCTTTCACATTTAGATAAACAAGCAACCTGAAATTACTTTCTGTAAAATATGAGACAGATGGCATGATTAGTGTTTTTCTACATGAATATCCAATTGAAATACCATTAATTTATTTGAAAACACAAAGGAAAAAAATGGACCACACCACCATCACTCACAAGGTGTATCTTTGCAATTAATCATTTTTTTTTTTGTATGTATGTATTGGTTTCTGGACTCTCAGTTCTGTGCCATTAACCTGTCCTTACACAAATTCACCTATGAAATATATTTTAGCTTCAGAGTAAGGTTTGATAGTTCTCCACCAGGGTTCTTCAAATTGGTATAGGCTCTTCTTGGTTTATGGCACTTCCATATAAATTTTATAATGGGTTTGACAATTTCCAATGGAAAACAAAGTTTCTGAAATTTTCAGACTGTATTAAATATATAGATAAAATTAAAAAGACTAAAGTCATTATAATATTGAGCTCTTAAATTCATTATGGAATTCCTCTTTATTTACTCAGGTCTTCAATTTCACTATAGATGTTACAGTTCCTGTGAAGAGATCTTATGTGTCTTTAATTTGAATTATTCTACACATTTGATGTTCTCTGATATTGTAAATGGTAATTAAAATCTTCTTTCTGTGTTGCTGTTACTGATATATTTGGCCCAGGCAGGGTAGTTCAGTTGGTTGGAGTATCATCCCCATAAGCCAAGGTTGTGGGTTCAATCTCTGGTCAGGGTACATACAAGGATCAATGAATGCATAAATAAGTGGAACAACAAAATGATGCTCCACCCTCTCTCTGTCTGCCTTTTTCTCTCACTCCCTTCTTTTCTCTCTCTCTCTCTCAAATCAATCACTTAAAAAAAATACAATTGATTTTATACATTGAATTTCAGGAAAATTTCAAAATTCAGTTAATTCTAATATTTTATCTGTAATCCCTATCAATGCAATCCCTATTAAAATACCAATGATGTATTTCACAGATACAGAACAAGTATTTTGAAAATATATATGGAACCATAAATGACTCCAAATAATCTCAGCAATTTTGGGAAAAAAGAACAGAACAGTAAGAATCACAATACCTGATATGAAACTATATTACAAGGACATGGTAATCAAAACAGTCTGGTACCAGCATTAGAACAGACACATAGATCAATGGAACAGAATAGAGAGCCCAGAAATAAACCCAGAAATTTACCATGTCTCTATGGTCAATTAATATTTGACAAGGGGGGCAGAAGCATAAAAATGGGAGAAAAAATAGCCTCTTCAATAAATGGTATTGGGAGATCTGGACAGGAACATGCAAAAAAATGAAACTAGACCGCCAACTTACACCATACACCAGAATAAACTCAAAATGGATAAAAGATTTAAACATAAACCATGACACCATAAAAGTCCTAGAGGAAAACACAGGCAGTAAAATTTCAGATATCTCACACAGCAATATGTTCATGATTATATGTCTAGGGCAAGGGAAATGAAAGAAATAAACAAATGAGACTGCATCAAATTGAAAAGCTCCTGCAAGGCTGAAGAAAACATGAACAGAATGAAAAGGGAACCAACCGTATGGGAAATCATTTTTGTCAGTGATATCTTGGACAAGGGTTTGATCTCCAAAATATATAAAGAACCCACATGATTCCGCAACAGGAAGACAATGAATCCAATTAAAAAATGGGCAAAGGACCTGAACAGATCCTTCTCCAAGGAGAACATACAGAGGGCCCATAGAATGCTCAGCATCACTAGCCATCAGACAGATGCAAATTAAAATCACAATGAGGTACCACCTCACGTGGGTCAGAATGGCCATCATAAAAAAATGAAACAAGTGCTGGCAAAGACTTGAAGAAAAGGGAACTTTAGTACACTGCTCATGG